AAACGACAAGCGACAAGGCAACAGGCCTTCATATAAAAGCCAATATCCAATTCCCAAACTCCTCCTGCGCGTAATGGACTGAAATCCAATACAGAAATATGCATGAAATGCAGACAAACACACACACAACACACACAGAGAACAGATACACACACACACATACATAGTGAGAGTGGCACAGACACAGACTCCCGCACAGATGTCAAGGAAATATGCGCCGTTTAGTCACAACTGTCAGTTTTCAATTGATTTGTCGAGCCAGTGGCGGCTGTCCCACTCGGTGGCAAGCAGCAGCAACTGGACGCAGTGACAGTGGCAGTGGCACTGGCAGTGTGGCAAGTGGCGTCCATCAAAGCCAACAACAAAGCAAATGTGAAAACATTAAAGCCATTTTGGTCGGAATATGAAATATGGCTTTCGATAGTTTCCCATTCCCATTTACCATTTTCCCATTTGCTATTTGCCATTTCCCACTTCTACACTCAGCAAAAAAAAATTAACCTCAAAGCTAGTAAGCCTGTCTTGTTTTTCCAACTAATTTCTAAATATCAGAAAGCATTTTCTTTAAACTTAGAAGGGCTTCGCTCAAATCGACTAAATTTAGAAATGCAAACCCCGAACCTAAAAGAAAGTATGAAATATTTACACTACTTCTAGGTGTATTTAAATGCAAAATTTAAATTCATAATTTATTTAATTGATTTTTAGAAATATACTTTTGGAATAATAATCTGAGTTATGGTGAAGTGCTAAAATTCAGTTCTATCTTTATTTGCTGAGTGTACCCATTTCCCATTTTCCCATTTGCCGATTTTGTCCCGTGTTCTGTGCGTTTCGCTTGGCCGCCAAAAACTTGTTTGCGAGTCATGCAGCAGCAGCAAGTCAATTTTCGTATCGTCATTGTTAACATCATCAATTTGTGTGCTTAATTTGGAAACTGACGCGCAACAAACAAAAAAAAACGAAAAAAGAAGGGAGACAAAGGCCAAGACGCCAAACTAGGACTTTTGGCTTACACAGTCAGTCAGTCAGTCAGTCAGGACTAAGGACGAGTTACCTTTAAGGAGGACGAGCAAACATAAATTGAGATGCTGTTGCCATAAAGCAGCCTCGTCGATTGTTTATTACATTTTGCACACTTGACGCAAGAGCGGCGATAAATGTCAAAGAGCTCATCTCCACGCAGGAAGCGATGAAAATCTAAGGATACGTGTAGATTGTTATCCCTTATCTACAGTTGCGACAAAATTAATAACACCACTACCAATGAAAAAACGAACTATTAAAACTTTGTAGTATTTGCCCCATAAATTGTAGTTAATTCTTTTTAATATATATATATATGTATATATATTTAACAATATTTTTTTGCTCTTATAGCTAGCCAATTACGCACTTTATAGAAATCGAACTGTAATTTTAATTAAATTTAAATCAACTACGGTTTTTTTCTTTCTCACTTATTTTCTAAGGGTCTTCTTCTACGTCTAGAATCGTTTTCATAAGTTTCGAAAACAAGACACCTTTGATAACATTATTTTTAGGAGTGGTCATATTATTTTTCTCGCAATGGTATGAGTGTGTGTGTGTGAGTGTGTGCTTGCGTGTGTGTGTGGCTAAAGTGAAGGCCCCGGGGCCAAAAATCAAAACAATTGCAGCTCAATTCAATTGCTGGCTAACATCACAAGTTGAGGACCAGCAAGGACTAACGACCAAGGACCAAGGATAAAAACCCGAATGTCGTCTCCTGGAAGGAAAGTTCATGAGGTTATGATTTTTGGGAGGAGACCCACGCCGAATAAACAGTTACGATTGTGTTACAATTTGTTACAACTGTAAATGTGTGTGAGAATGTGTGTGAGTGAACGAAAGCTGAAAGCTCTCGAGGGACTTTTTAGCCAATATAAATTTTGATCCTTCTTGAAAAATGGAAGCAAACATAAATAGCATCAAGTGGAAAAACTGAAACGTTAACGAACAGCCCGCCAAAAGGGAGGGGAAGAGAGCGAGGACTTGGAAGTTTTCGGGGGAGGGGGGTGCGTAATGCGACACGGGTTTTTGGGCGAATGGCAAAATCGACGACATAAATGAGTGGCGGACTTGAGCAGCACATTTAGCAGCAAACAAACAGACTAAAACACACACACACTCGCACACACACACACACATAGACAGACAGAGGCGCAGCAGAGACGCAGCTGTGACGCAACAGAGAGCGACACGCACAGCGCTTTGTGAAGGACACACAATGATAGAGCCACATGTGTCAGTGTATAGGCAACACATACATAAGTACATACATATATAATTATATATATATATATATATATATATTTATATATACACAAATACAGTTGCGAAAATAATAATAGCACCACTTATTATATTTGTTAGTTTAAGAAACTTCAAAAAGAAAAGTGACCAAGAAAATCATAATCAACGTCATAATTGTATTTAGCATGTTCAACTTACTTAAATTGAATGAAAATTAAAATTAAATTAAAGTATTAAGATTTATGAAAATAGGCAGAAAATGAACAAAAAAATAAAAGCAGCATTTTGCAAAAATTTGACATAACTTACATAGATTTCTATAAAGTGCATAAGTGGTGCTATTACTTTTTTCGCAGCTGTACATACATACATACATACTGTATATATGTGTGTGCCTGTTTGCTGTTGTATTTGCAATAAAAGCGATGAACAACAACAACAATGACAGCAGCAGCAGAAAGGAAAACGAAATGGCAAAATAAATTGAAAGAGAAACAAATAAAAATCAACGACGAAAGGCTGCGGCAAAAAAAAAACAAACTAAGAATGCTGCAGTGGAGTGTGCTTCTAAGAAATACCCTGCACACAGAAATTGCTTGCGCCCGCTGATAGAAATGAGTACAATTTGAGAAAAGGTTTTGGACTACAGCTTGGCTGTTTCTTAACCGATCTTAATGAATTTTAGGCAGTTAAGTATTATTGTCTATGTATATTATATATTCAAAATTATGGCTGCTACAGCTATCCCAAATCGATAAATATTGATATGCGCTACACGAGTGCAGTTATCGATCAAATAAATGAGTCTTCTGATTTTTAAAAATTCATACAAAATCATTATACCTCTTTTAACCATTTTCAATGAGTAAAAAAAGGCAAAAAAATCAAGCACAGTCAGAATGAGAGAATTGTAGCAGTAGCAAGCAAATATTGAACACACACACACATTCGCACACACAAACATAAGCAAAATAATCGTCGATAAAAAGCTGGCGCCAAGATACCCGTAATATGAGCTAACCATTGCCCCACCTCCTCCCCATTCCAACTGTCCGCAATCCCCTTGGCAAGTGGCTTCGCACATCAAGGCGCATTATTGGGTGACATGTGAAGAAGCTGCTTGTTGTAGGCTTTTTCAACCCGCACACACAAACACACACAGTTGCCAGCTTCAGCTTTAGCCTACTTGAATTTGTGTTTTACAGCACGCAATTCAGTTAATTCCATAAGAAAAGTTAGTCCACACTGGCAATTGAGTAGCGAGTATTAATGCTGCAGCCAGCAGCAAGACGAAGAAGAGAAAACTAAACAACAACAACACACTCGGCTTATCCTCCCTTCCACACTCATCAGCTAGAAAGTGTGCAACAACTTAGTACAGATCGACAAGCAGCTTTTGTCAGCGAACAAATGTTAAATGCTATGCAAACATTTAAATGACAAATGTTAAATGCTGTGCAAACATTTAAATGACAATACAAAAAATTATACAATACTGAAATTTGTACAGTTTTTGTGCAGAGTTGTGGTAGTTGAATGTCTTAGAAGCGGAGCTTAAGGAACATCTGCAATTTTTGGAGTTAATAAAAGAAGAAGAAGAGAAAGCAGAGCAACAACAACAAACACTCGCCTTATCCTCCCCAAAGCAGCACTTACTACAGATCGACTAGCAGCTTTTGTCAGCGAACAGATGTTAAATGCTACGAAAACATTTAAATTACAACCCAGAAAATTATACCAAATTGAGATTGGAATTGAATTGAAATTCCTCAAAATCGCAATTGAATATGTTCAACGATTTTTTACAGAACTGACTAAAATTAACTTACAAAAATAACGCAAATTTTTGGCAAAGTATTCAAAATTGAAAGTTTAGTTTAGGAATGGAGTTGGGTCCACTGCTGTCTGTTGCATAAATTTTTCCCTTTTTTTGGAAAGAGGATATTTCAAACATTTAAAATGCGCCCCAAAGCTAACGTCGCGTTGCCGTTCACAGCTCCCAAATGGCTTAAAATTTATGGCACAAATAAAAGTACTGGACAGCAGTCACCCAAAAAAAAAGAAGAAAAATACGAGCAACAAAAGCAACCATTTTTTGGGGGGTCAGTTCGATTTCGATTTCGATTGGATGCGCAAAGCCACAGGGCAAAGTGTTTGCCAGGCAGCTTCCCTTCTTCCCCACCCCTTGATGGTCAATCACCTCCAAGAAATGAAAACACAAATAAATTAATATTTGGCTTAGTGAAATTCAATTTCTTTACGAGTATCTGCGGTGTCCGGCGGGCGACGAAAATTCCGCACTTCTATGGACTGCTGGCTGGCTGGCGATAAAACGCTTTCGCTTTTCAGGTAATTGCGTGTAAGTGGCATAAACATAAAACGGAAAACTGAATATTTATGAGCAGGTCACTTCTTTAATAGCAGTCGAGCATTTTCCAATTCGACGTGAATAATTCCGTTATTTTAATTCCGATATTGGCTTCCGCATACGACAAACAATTAAAGTTAAAATTATTTAAATATATTTAGCAGTTTGCTATAGTTATTGGCATAAATTATACGTAATATATATATATAATACAGTGTTCGTTAATAAGACATATAATGGTATAATTTTATCATATATGATCAAAAATAAAATATCATATCAGCGAGAAAGCAGCTTTTGTCTGCCTTTGATTATCATTTATTTGTTGGTATTTTATTGGTATTTTTTAGGCACAAGTAGCCGTAGCACAAGTAGCATAAAACAGCTGGTTGCTGAACTTTAATCAAGCTGCGACGACAAACAAATTTTGGAATACGCACAGTAATTGGCTATCTAATTTATATATACGAGAAGGGTATGTATTAAAGGATCACAATGAGCACCGTCGCACTGCAAGCCAAAGCACTCCTAATACGCGCCGTCGAATGCGATCAGAGCGGTCGCATTTTGGAGGCGCAAACGCTTTATCAGGATGGAATTTCGCAGCTGATGGATTTTGTCAGTGACGAGCCGGATGAGGGAAAGCGGAAGGGTTTCCTCGTTCGCATCAAGGAGTACATGGATCGGGCCAATGCCATTAAGGCCCGCATCAACGGCAGACTTGCCCTCGGCGAAGTCGTCTTTCATTTGTCCATCGAGGACAACGATACGAATTGCGATTACGATCAACTATTTGGCAAATACATGACTGATCAGACAGTGGAAATATTGATCGAGGAACCCCACTTGACCAAGAATTTTCAGGTGAGCAGAGAATACTTGATTTACTACTATTCACTAATTACAGTTGCGAGCAAAATAATTATATTAAAATTCAATAATAACACAAAAAACATATGATATTTTATGGTTAACCTTTTTTTAAGAGTCCTTTTCTAAATCTTAATCGCGTTTTTCATAAACTTTAATTTTTTTGAAGAGTTTTCTTCTACTTCTAAATTCCTTAAACATTTCTATAATTTGTTTGGCAACTATAAATATTTGGTGTTCTTTTGCAGTATCAAAATCTGATACGTTTCCTGGAGCTGGCAGTGACAAATTGCAAGGATTTGAAATACTTGCTTTTGGTAACCAAAAAGGATGTGGAAGACTTTGATAAGCAGCGCACGAATATGGGACAAATTAAAGCAGATCTGGAGCGAAGACAGATCACTCTCTATATCAAGTACGAGGACACGCTGCACGATCGCAAAATATAGTAAGAGAAAAACATGATTATTTTTCGAATTGCTATCTATTATGAAATCTGTTTGTTTATTTGTAGTTTGAGCAATGGTTATATTATTAAAATTGGACGTGGCTTAGACATCTACAAGGCCTCCAATCCGATGTACTCCATCGGTTTGACCAACTACAAATACAGAAAGTGCAAGCAAACCGATGTAGATATTTGGCGTACTTCACACACAGCTGGCAAATAATGATAAAAGACATTCGATTCCAATAATGACTAAAGCGTGAAGTATTATACATTTATTTCTATATATATTTTTATCTGTACGAGACAATTTTACGTTTTTAAAATTAAATAATAAAGTTTTGTGTGCTTTTTTTGTAGAAAACCATAGTTGAAGATTTTCGCCGTGTGTGCTATAAATCTGCAGTAGCAGATATATACATATACATGGATGTGGATATGGCTGCAGGGGCGTTTTTTGCTGTTTAAAATTCATAACTTTCGGGGCACTTTGGCTGCAGAGGCAGCTGCACAGCTGGTGGCAAGCTTGGCTCCTGACTGCTGGCTGGCAACTGAAAACTGGCTTTTCTGTCTTTTGGCTGCTGTTTTGAATGCCGCTAGCAGCAGGCGGGCGGCCCAAATGCAGTTGCATAAAAGACAGCAACGGAAGCTGTTCCAGCTTCCTTCGATACCTTCCTTCGCATAGTACACTCAGCAATGCACTTTTGAAATTTTACGTTGGAGTTTTCTAATATTTAGAAAATATATGTCTAATTGGCGGAGGCTTTTCTGTGTAGAAGAATTGTTATATTAGCCTATTTTGTTACTTATATTATTTTTAAAACTAAGTATTTTTAGACTTCATATATACAAACATTTAACATAGCAAGCCTTTCTAATATTCTAATATAATATTTGGAATATTTTTTTTTAAATATACGAAAATGTAGGGTGATTTTTTTCTGAGTGTGTTCTCAGCAGCCATTTACTATTGTCGCCCAAAGAGGACGCCTCCTAAAGCCCCAGCTCAACGTCTCCAACTCCAACTCTTAGTCTGAGTCTGTTCTGTAGCTTTAGACATGTGCGTATATAATTAGAACTGTGCCACACTTGGCTGCACATTCTCCACCTTTTAAAGGGAAGCTGGAGGGGGTTAGGGATGCACCCACACAATATATTTTCAATTTACTTGGTGGCATGGCCAGGATTTATCAACAGATGAAGGCAATTGTTATGCGTTGTCGCGATGAGCCGGCCTAATAAATTGCACCAGAGCTAAAAATGCTTTTGCTCGCTTTTAAATTTTATGGCCCGTAAGAAGGGCACACGCAGAAAACACTAATACGACTGTCAGTCCCAATGGCAAAGCTGCCAGAGCCACCCCTAATTTCAGTTTTTAGACTGGGACAGCTAAGCTGGCTATTCATTGCTGGGGATCTGGGATCTGGAATCTAAACCAGAGCAACAAGAGGAAACCATTGCCAAAATTGCGTATAGGCCAGCTAGGCTAGGATTTACTTTCCGCTTGTGGTTTAACCTGACAATTAGTTGCTTCACTTGTCCTTTAAATAACGTCAACTACAATTCACAGTTGCGAAAATAATAATAGCACCACTCGCACAAACAATTTTTTTAAAGGAGCTTTTTTAAATATAAATTTTTAAGGAAGTCATAATTATGTTTTTAAAAGTGACAAAAGACTGTTTTAAAAAATGGAAAAATAGCCGAGTATTTCAAAGGTGCACTTTTAATTATGAAAATTATAAATAAATAAGTTTAAGGTACTTATAAATACGTTATCAGATATAAAAGAAGACTCTTAAGAAAATAAGCGAGAAAGAAATGAACATCATTTTGTTTACTGTTTTCAACTTATTTAAGTTTAAGTAAAATTAAATTTAAATATTATTTTGCATTATTTGAAGAGAGTGAAAAACTAATGCTGTGTGCAAATTGCGATTTATTAAGTAGAGTTGAGGAAATAATTGTTGTTGTTCTTTGTTCTTTGTTCTTGTCGCTGACTTGGCGCAAACAAAAGTAAGCTATTTCTGTGTGGCACACGCAACAGTTTCGGCAAAATCCTTGCCACGACGTTGTCTGCCAAATTTGTGCGTCCATGAATGCAGCCGTGTTAAATAGAAAGGAAACTACAATACATGCATAACCAGGGAATTAAATATACAACACACAAAAGCAAACCCCCCCCCCCCCCCCACACACACACACACACAAAATACCCTTAAGGCAGGAAAAACCAAAAGCATAACTAATCCGCATCTTTTAAGCGACTCCTCCTCCTCGCAGAAGAAGACGAAGCAACAAGATGAGGGTTGTAAGAGGGGAAATGGGGTGGGGGGAGGTGTAGTCTTTTCGGGGGCACTTTTCTATTACGACGAGTACGGCAACGATATGAGTGGTAAATGTTAAGCGGAGTGTTTTAGGTTCAGGCACTTATGACATTACATTTTATGCCAGGCAGCAACAGAAATGTTGGCAACTGTGTGTGTGTGCGTGCAAGTGTGTGTACACTCGGAAAAAAATCCTCCTAAAACTATATGGTTTTCAGCAATAATTTCTACATATAAAAAATAGTTTATCTTATAACTAGAAAGGCTTGCTCTCAATCAACATTACTTAAATAATGCTAATTTTTAAATCTGTTAGAAATATTTTCTACTATTAAGAAATGTGAATAAACAATTCTACATATTAGAAAGGCTTGCACAAAAAATATGGTATTATTTTCTATTCTATCTATAACACTGATTCTTCGAAAAAATCCATTCTGATATTCAAAATATAGCAATGAAGTTTGCTATCTCGACTGATGTTGAGTTTGGCTTATACAAAGAAGAACAGAGAAGCCAATATAAGAATTCTTCTATGATACACAATTTTTCCGAGTGTAAAGTGTGTGTGTGTGTGGGAGTGTGTGTTCTCTATTAATTTGCAATGGCTGTGTGGCAAACCCCTCAGCACAAAATGCCTACGCACTCGATTGTTGTGGCAAAGATTTGTGAAAGCGCCACGTAATTGACTTTGCTGATGGTTGTCGTTGTTTCAGTTGTTGTCCTTGCTTGTTGTCGTTGTTGTTGTTGCTACTGTTGTTGCTACTGTTGCTGTTGCTGTTGCTTAAAATTATCATGGAACAATCGTCAACTCGGACTGCTCGAAGAGAAGTGTGTGTATTCGTATCCGTATCGTATTATGTACACATATACTTATGCCGATTTACGCATAAAACTCTCGGACGCAGGCCGCAAAAGGCGAAAGTCCGAGTTAAAGCCCAAAGGCAAAAAGGCAACAAACAACAGCAAAAAAAAAAAAAATTAAAAGGATGGCGCCTGGCGAAGTAAACATTTTTTTCTTGTTTTTATTGCTGCCAGCAGCATCGACAAAAACAACAAAAATAACAGAAACAACAACAGCATCAGCAACTGGCAAATGTCCCACTTGTTACAAGACCTCCTTTCTTGGTTGGGTTGGGGGACGGTTGGCGGGGGAGTCTACAAAATTGGGCCATAACTTTTGTTTTGCTACGTAAAATGGCGCCAAGCCAGCTATATAGGCCAGACAGCACAGCACAGCATAGCACATAAAGTCGACGCTTAACTTAACCCAGCTAGTGATGAACCCAGCAATTCAAATCCGAAACGTGCCATCAACGAAACGCGCCAGTTTTCAACGCATTATCTATTTTTTGATTTTTTTTTTTTTGTAGAACGGGCATTGCGTATACGCAGCGTAAGCCAACGAAAGAAACGCATCATTAGCGCCCTGGACAGCAGCTCCATTAGAGAATGACAACTGGCCAAAGTCTCAGGCACTGTGTGAATATATATATATATATATATATATATATATATATATATATATATATATATTAATATACATATGTATGCACTCGACAAAATATTCGATCTGAATTTTAGGAATTGGCCCTAAATTAGAGAACATTTTTCTTGTTTTAAAATTCATTAATTATAATACTTAATATAAAAATAATTCAGAAAAAAAATATTATTCAGAGAGTCTTTCTAAAAAACAGTCCATTTCTTAATATCAGTTTGGATTTTTCTAAAATTTAGAAAAGTATTTCTGTTTTCTTTCATTGAAGAATTCTTACATTCGCTTTTTTGTTACTTATAATAATTACTAAACATTTAGTGTTTTAGTATTTTGAAATTTCACGTTTTAAAAAAATGTATAAATTCATATAATTTAATTTGAAAAAATTCGATATTGCTTTGAAATGCATTTCTTAATAATAGAAAATGTTGTTTGGCAATTTTCTAAATTTCATGGCAATTTATTTTGCTAAGTGTGTATATATGAACTAAAGTGATTTTCAAATATGTCTCTCTGTCTGTCTGTCTGTCTCTCTATCTGTCTCTGTGTGTTGGGGCGGGCACTTTAGTTGCTTTTGTCGCTGATGTTGTTGCTGGCAACGCAGTTGCCTCGTGCTAGGCTAGATTAAAAGCTGTCACAGGCCAAACAAAAGCAACCGCAGCGCCAACAATTCACAAAGGATAAGCAACAACAAACAACAACAGGCACAACAACAACAAGAACAACAGCAGCAACAACAACAACTGAAACAGTTTTGTTATTGTGTGCGCTTTAGATTTGCAATGTATGCCGATTTATAATCAATCAATGTCAGCGCAAATTCGAAGTGGGTGGCGACTGGGTTGGGTTTTGGTGGGGGGGGTTGATGGTTGAGGGGGGAGGTGGACGCCAAGGCATAGCGTATGCTGGAAAAAAGGCGTTCATTAGGATACAGACGTCATGGCAAGGATACTGAGGGAAAAGGCGCTTTATAAATAGTGCGTGCATAATCGACGTCAATCTAGCCATATTAAAAGCCTAACGCAATGCCAACCTCTCCCCTGCTCAGCCCCCTCTAACCACCCCCTACTCCCCCAGCTACCTCATCGTTTTATTGATAATTTTTAAGCCAGAGATAGCAGCTAGGGGATATATAATTCTGTATCTTATTCGGCAAGCATTGCGAATCGATTAATGGCTCGAAGGAAATCAAAACCGAAATTACCAACAAAAAAATGTATAGAATTTTATGAAAGATAAACAATGATATATCGATTGATTATAAAATTAAGCTATGCTGTATGGATTGAATACTGATTCACTAGAATATTTCCAAAACAAAAATCAGAATCGGTTAAAAAACTAAAAGCAGTATTTGCAAAGAAGTGGAAGTGCTTCAAAGAAATTAGAATGGAAATTAAAAAAAAGTGCAGAAATTTGAATATATGAAAGATAAACTATGATATGTGGATTGATTAATTGGCAAGAAATTGTGAAAACTATAATCAGAATCAGTAGAAAAACCAAAGACAATGTTTCCAAAGAAGTGGAGTCTTC